CAGGCTATGAACCCCTGAGAAGCAGAGCTTGTAAATGGGGCCCATTAACAAATTAAATACATACTGTATAATAAAAACATGCTATAACAAGCAAAACAAAAAAGAGATAGGCCTACATGTATATTCATACTTATTACAAAACAATTACAAATATCTTGCAAACACACTCAGCCATACTCACTCTCACACACACGCACACACACACACACACACACACACACAATGCAATGTAGTTTAAAGCATATTATAAGAGAAAGAGAGAGAGAGAGAGAGAGATAGAGAAGAAGAGAGTAGAATATTTAAAATAAAAAGGAAGAAGAGGAAACACATGAAAAATGCGAAATGTGAGATTAAAACTTATAGTCCTACCCAGTTTTACAAATTAATAAATAGTTCCCCTTTGCACAAAACTTTAAACCTAGACAAAGTTGAACTTGATCTTATATCCTCGTTTAAATCATTCCATTTGCTTATTCCCACATTTCTAAATGATTTCAGTGCATGGGTAGTACGTACAGGGGGTTTGTGTAATAACATTTTTTGCCTTGTGTTATGTGAATGAACGGATGAATTTCTAATAAACATGTTTTGAAAAATGTGTAGAAGATTACCAGTGTGGAAATGAAACATAAAATTAATATACAAGTATTAAGTGATATTAGTTCTTGGACAGGAAGAATCTTCATTCTGCTAAATAATAGTTTCGTATGAGAATTATACATTGAATATGTTAAAATTCGAATCGCCCTCTTTTGAAGTATTTCCATTTTATTTAGATGAGATAAATATCAATTTCCCCACACTATATTGCAGTAAGATAAATGGGGTAATACTATCGGGTTGTATAATAACATTAGAACATTTTGGGGAACGGTAAATTTTAATTTTGATGATACTCCAATGCTGCCAGATACTTTCAAAGTTACATTTTTAATGTGGGTCTTCCAGTCCAGGAATTCGTCTATAGTAACACCAAGAAAGGATAGTGAATGTACACGTTGAAGGACTATGTTGTTAACAGAAATGTCATTAATGTCTCCGGGAACTCTCCTGTTCTTTGAACGAAATATGATATATTTTGTTTTATTAAAGCATCACACCAAACCATCACACCAAACTTGTTCTCATCTCATGTATTAGAGAGGCACATCCCTGTATTTTACATTAGGTAAGTATATGACCCCACCCCAAGCATTTCCCTCATCACAAATAGTATATAATTATACATATTAGGGACATCACTTTGATATTTCCATAGAACCTTTTAACACTAAACAACCAGAAACCTTTCCTTTTGTTTATCTTACAAACTAAACAAGGAGAGATTTTTTGTGGGGTGGGGGTTGGGGGCTGCTTTAGATTGTACAAGAAAGACACATTTCTTTATACATAATACATACACAATACACATTATAATAAAACTTTTGGCACACCTAAAACTGTAACCTGAACTGAAAGTCTTTCAGCGAATCTTGGCAGAGATTTAATAAATGTGCTTGTGGGGGTGGGGGGGGGGGTGGTGGTCGCACCCCGCACATCCCCCTTAGAGACGCCCCATGAGGGCAGCTACCTCAATACAAGTATGTAGAAAAAGAAGAATACACAACATGCATTTATACTTATCATAGGCCTATAACTAAATCTGGACTATATAATTCAAAACATTTCAATGCAAACTATTAGGTCATGCCTGGATAAAGAGAATTATGTGGCGAATGTAGAGTGAATGATGTAGGCATATATAATTAAAACATGAATGTTTCATTTATTAGATATTAAGGTTCTGAGATTTGGCACAATAATTATATTCCTATAGTTCTATTAATATACGGCCAATAAAGAATTAAAAACAATTAAATGCAAACAAAGTCATGTTGAACGGTAGAGAGAATGATGTGGCGAACTTACAATGAGGTGAGGCGAACGTAGAGTGAGGTATGTAGGTCCTACGTGAATTAATAATAATAATAATAATAATGTAACTTATATCGCGCCAAATCCACTCTGTGGACTGCTCAAGGCGCGTGTGAACAGGAAAAACGATCAAGACTTGAAAAGGAATGTTTTGAGATGAGTTTTGAAAGAATCAGAAGATAAACATTTTTTTATGTCTTCAGGAAGGCCATTCCATAATTTAGGACTAGAGTATGCAAATGATCTTTCCCCCACGTTTTGGTAATTTTGGGGGTCACGAGAAAATTGGAAGTGGATGAGCGTAGAGGTCTTGCAGGAGTGTAGTTTTGGGTTAGAGAGATAAGGTATTGAGGAGCAGAGCCGTGAACATTAAAACATTTATGTTCCATTTTTCTCTTCTGTATTCAGGTTTTAACATAAGATTTTGCACAATAATTACATTCCTATAGGCCTATTAATTGGGAACTATAGAATTAAAAACAATTCAATCCAAACAAAATCATGTTGGATTACCTTAGATAGAATTATGTGGCGAACGTACAGTGAGGTGAGGCGAACGTAGAGTGAGGTACCATGCAGGCCTATAAGAAATTAAAACATTTATGTTTCACTTCTCTTAATGATTTCTTTACAGGTGCTAACATGAGATTTGGCACAATAATTATATTCCTATGGGCCTATTAATCTGGACTATATAATTAAAAAACGATTCAATGCAAACTAAATCATGTTGGCATGTGAGAGAATTATGTGGCGAACGTATACAGTGAGGTGAGGCGAACGTAGAATGATGTACCATAATTATACTGAATTAAAACAATCAACGTTATTTATCTTAATGAAGCATTTTATTTAGCAAGAGTGAACGTAAAATTATTGCGCGCAACACGAATTTAATGAAAATAATAGGGCTTTCTTTAGAATATAGAATTTAAAACAATTCAATTATGCAAACAAAGACAGAGTCCTGTTGGATTTACTATGTGGCGAACATACAGTGAGGTGAGGCGAACGTAGAGTGAGATGAGTGTGTGTGACCATAAGTAACATTTGCCTCATGAATATTTATTAGGCTTCGTGTGACCTTTACTGTGAATTTACTTCCGCCTCACGTCAGAGTCGCCTAAAAAGTGCCTACCATATTGAGCGTTCGAGAACGAGAGCAGTCTGAATTAAGCACTTGTAATAAAATATCGTTACAATATGTATAACATATAAATATGGTGAACAAAATAAATCCTCATGGAAGAGGCAAAGAGAAGGGAAACAAAATTCGCATTTATGTAATTTCGTCTTTGGAGCCACAATTGGCATTGATCCATATTACTTTGACACGGAGTTAACGCACTTGTGACCCCAAACAGACGGGTCGGTTAATACTTTTGTCCATTATATGAATCAAACGAAATTTAACTCTGCATTGTTAATTGTTAAGGTCGAGGGTTCGAATCCCGACACGGCACTAATATCCTTTGGCAAGATATTAACCTGCACTTGCTACTCTCCACCCAGGTGTTAAATGGGTACCCGGTAGGATGCGACCGTCATTGTTGGTCAAACAGTTTTTGAGCGTCATGTAACGCCTGGCTGGAATGCTCCCCAGGGAGTGGAGATTGTGCACACATTGTGTGCGGGTAAGCACTGAATCCAATGACCGGGGTAATAATATATTTGTAAAGCGCTTAGAGACATTTGTATTTAGCGCTATATAAATAAAATTTATTATTATTATTAATAATAAAACATGACCTGGGCTTTTTTTTCTTTTCAACTTGTATATACTTTTTTTGTAGTACCTTTACAATAATGTACTATTATTTCCTTTGTTAATATTTAATGATTGTTTATAATTATAGCTCCAAACGTTTTGATATGAATGAAGAAAAGGGGGCCCTGAGTCACTTAAAAGAATGGGCAATGTTATGGAGAAAGAAAGAGGGGGCATTTATCAGAAGGGAAAAGGGCACTCATTACAAAGGAACAGGTGCACGTGTCAAATTAAAAAGGGCAATTATCAGAGATGAAAAAGGCCGCACTTATGAGATTAAAAACGGGGCATCTGTCGAAGGAAAAGGGGCTCTTATCTTTAGAAAATAGTTATTATTAGAAACCAAAGGGACATGATTCAACATTGATAAAATGGGCACTTATCAGAAATGAAAAGGGGCAATTAAGAGAAAGGGAAGGGGCACTTGTTTAAAAGTAAAAGGGGCATTTGTCATAGTAAAACGTCAGTGTACCTCTCAGATTTTAATAAGGGCAATTAGCAGAAGTACTGAAAAGGGGCACTTTTCAGAGGGAGTAATGTTATACCTGAAAAGGGGCACCTGTTGAAGAAAATTCAGCACTTATCACGTTTTAATAGGGGCATTTATGAAAAACGCTATGTAAGAATATTATTATTATTATTATTATTATGAAGACAAAATTGGGACACTTATCACGAGGAAAGGCACGTGTCAAAATAAAAAGACACTTCTTACAAAGTAAAAGGGGCACTTTTCTTATGACACTGAAAAGGTGTGGGGGACACTGTGCCCCCGCCCCCTCCCCGGAAGGCCGCCTCTGCCCAAAAGATTTCGGACTACATTCATGTATCAACTTGCAAACGTTTATCATTTATTTTAATAAATTCGGAATTAGTGAATTGAAATTGAAAAATAAAAACATGAACATTCCTCTTTTCAAAGGTGGCGTGATGGAAGCCTTTGCCAGTTTTTATCTCCTTCAAAATAATAATTGATGATAATGAAAACTATCGCTATGATAATCGTTTTAAATTTCGCTATATCTTTTGAGAATATACCCACTTTGATATATTTCTTAAAATTTAAAAGATTTTCTTTTTTTAATGCTGTAGACCCTATTTAGAAAAAAAAACTTTATGATGAAATTGTGAATTCAAAGCAGGTTGTAAAAGATGAATAGCATTATGTAGAAAACAAAATCTGCTTTAGGGAATAACTAGAAGGTGGGCATGTAAAAATTCAAGAATTAAAAACTTTCTTTCACTAAAGATTTTTTTTTTGGTGGGGGGGGGGGGGGTATTTATCACCTGACTGTTACGAGATCACCTGACCTTTTTTGCGGAGAGAATATAATCACGTGACACTTTCCGAAAATGAAGCTGTTTGCCTGTATCTGTGTTGTATTTCTTTTACAATCCATTCTATCATGTGGACAGGGGCTGAATTGCGACAGTTTACCTATGCCAAAGTCTTACGTTGTGTATTTTCTTCAAAATGGTGAGAAAATCAACATTGATGGAAAACTCGACGATAATGCTTGGCAAGAAGTGTCCCGATCCCATCGCTTTATTGGTAAGTATGCATACCGGTACTCATGTGAGCTCGCCCCCGTTCCGCCCCGGACGATCGAGAGCGATGCCGTGTTGTGGTCCTGCAGTTGGCATTTACAGCACGATTTCTCCGCACATAATGCACATGCACATTTTCACTTCCTTATATTCACAAATTTTGGACAAGAGACTAGGGATCACGCTAAATTGGCCTTGAATTATTATTTTTATTTTCTTAAAACAGGGAATAAGCTTTGGTTTTATTTCATATGTTGACCAATATTAAGCCTAAAGCCAGGGTAATAGGCCTACAAAGTTTTGGTTTATATGGGGTCATGAATTTGGTTCAAATGAACATATTGGAAGCATATGCGATCCTACAATATTCAGTGGTCGGTGTCGCAGTTGAAATCAAGTCTTAAGTTATAAAATTGTAATTAATAAACTCTTTATGTTGTATAGCTCCCTCTCTAGGTCAAGATATTAATTGGGCTATACAACAATGTTTCTTGACTAAACTCGACCGATTGGCTATTCCCGTTTGGAAATTATACATCACATCTACATATTCTGAGATTGTCATTGTCGCAGCTACCATTTGGCCGTAGTCGCTATTTGAAATTTGTCTACATTTACCAGGAGCACCGGTAAATTTTTATATTAATTTTTTCTCGAAAGCAGAAGTGTTTTAGGTGCTAAATTTTCTAGTGCCTATAATACATCGACAGGGGCATCCAAATATATCAAAATTGTAAAGGATCACTATCCACCCAATTTTCTAAATTTTCCAAAACTTTGTATTACCTTTAATGATTAAATTTCAAAATGGATATCACAATTATAAAGTCATTGAATTCTTATTATCTGTTAGTCTTATTCTTTTTTGTTGACAAAATGTGACTCAAGCACCCAATAATGCTTCAGTCACTTTATGGTAACAAGACTATTACATTAATTCAAGATAAGGCCATTTTCATCAGCAGAAAAAGAAATTGGGTTGCAAAGACAAAAAAATTAGGACCAGGGGACTAAATCATTTCATTCCTCAATGATGTCAATCTGTTTTTGTTTTATTAATAATAAAATGAAATGTTGCATTATGAACCAGAGGGGCATTACTAACACTGTGTTGAAGTATGTGAATTAACGCCCTTCTAGCTACTGGTACACAAACCAAACAGACCAAATATACTTGTTTCATACATACAGACATTCAAGGAGAAGCCCTTCCAAAGCCCAGATTTGATACCTGGGTTAAGATGAGATGGGACTCCAAGTATCTTTATATCGGAGCGTACCTGCAAGAGACTGATGTCTTTGCTAACCAAACAAAGCATGACTCTGTAGGTAAGCTATACTGTATTCAGTTTGTATTGGTCCATTCCAACTGCTGGGTGATAAGTCCATGATGAAGTATCTCGTCAGAAGAAAAAAGAAAGAAAATGTTCTGTTCGGATAATGCGACTTTTGCCAAAATTCAATCAATTTTTAATGCGCACTTTTAAATAGTATGCTTGTAATAACTTTGGCTGGAGTCTGAGGAAATTGTGTGTTGCACCAAATACCAATATCAAATCATATTCATCAGGTTGAGGATGTTCTGTTGAAATATTTGGTATCAGCTAAATAGAAATAATATTAATAATAATAATAATAATAATAGCCTAATAGTCCACTCCAAATTTTATTAAACCGAAACGGAAATTCTTTTTGCCCATTTGATCGTGAGCCCGGCAGCCGCTGAGCAGCGCCAGATCGACTCTGCTCTATCCCTTATTGTTGAACGCCAAACAAGGTAGCAACAACTCCCATCTTTTAACGTCTTTTGGTATGACGCGGCCGGGGTTCGAACCCAAGACCTACCGGTTGTGAGGCGGACGCTCTACTGACTGAGCCAACACTCCGGAAGCCTTATCTTATCCTTCCATTGTAATCAGTTCTAACTTGAGAGGAATAGCTACATGGAGATAGCCTGAATGAAACCTCCAACTCATCTTTAAGGAATTGATTTGTGTCGATTGCAGGATAAAAAAATTCAAAATAAGTATACAAGAAAATGCATTAGAAAAATTATTTAAAAATTTGATATATTTATAAGACACTTTAAAAGTGAGTCCTGAAAAGCTGTCAAATTCATGATGAGCATTACAACCCATGACCTCAGAACTTCAACAACATAATTATTAATTCACATCTAGAATATCTCTATATATTTTTTTCAGTGACTGCCCTTTTAATCACTTTTTTGAATTTTATGTTTTATGTTTCATTTCCAGTGTTCAAAGACAATGATTTTGAGGTAAGCCCTTATAACGTATTACCATGATGCATTGATCCTGACAAAAAGCAAACAATTGTAATAATTCTTGGTTAGCAGACTCTTGAAAAGAAGATTACTCTATGTTCCACGTTTCTGTATTAAAAGAAAAAGAAAAATCTTTATTTTCTGCACATTAATACTAAATTCTTATAAGTTAGCTCGACTGCCACTTATTATATTTTTATCTTTTACAGGTATTTACTGATCCTGATGGAAGCACACACTGGTAAGATACAAAACTACACAGTTGGTACAAAAGCTTGATCTTGCATGATTCATATGTTAGAAGTTCCAGCTTAAATGTTATTTAGGCGCTTGTAGTTAGGCAGTACAAAATGTGCTCTAATGCTATATTAATTCAAAGAATATTTCACTCAGTATTTGCTCATATGATGCTCTTGCTGCCCATGTGATTTCAGAATCGGTTTGTTTCATAGCCCTTTTTAATGATACAAAAGACAGACAGATTGTTTTCTTAAGCTGATGACTACTGAATTATCTAATTCCCATAAGCTTAAAACAGGGACCATCAGGTTCCTGTGGCCAATGGTTTAAGAGTTTGGACTGATTTATATATAAACACATGCCATTATTTCATTAAATTTTGAGCAGTATCTTAAGTTAATAGTCAGTTGATTTTATGTTTGAGGGCCCTGGTAATAGAATTACATTTTGATCGATAGTGGCTTTGTGTGATTTGAAATTGCTGTAGATGTTTTTTTTTTGGACCAGCACAAAGTATGTACAAATGAATGAAAACTGAATGAACACACAGCTCACTCTTTTATCATATGATATGCACATGGTTGTAGGGCTAATCGCATGATTTCCTTGCATGTCTTTGTCTGTGCTCATCATACAGCTATTATACATTTTTCTACCCATTATATTGTATTTGTTTTGCCTGGCAGGTACAAGGAGTTTGAAATCAATGCAGTAAACACGACATGGGACCTCATGTTAAATAAAGTGAGTGGATATAACTTTCATCAAACTTTACACAAGACAGGGAAAACCAAATAAAGTTTTCTTCCATTATCACATTTATTTTAACATAATATATTATGGTTCCTTACTCTTTTAAAGTTTAAAATTTAGAAATCCTAGTTTACATTTCGGTAATTTGTTTAATATTTTTATTTTGATCAGCGTGATAAATAAAAAACTTGTATTTTTATAGACATTTATTTCCAATCATTCAAGGAATGAACATTTTCTGTGCCTGGAGCTGTTTGATTTATACATTGTTGGGAAACATATTGGGCTGCAGAAGGAAAAGAGGACAGATATAAGACAGATATATCGAATGAAGTTGGAAAAGAGGCAATATACTTATATAAAAAGAGTGGGAAATAAAAACAAAATGAAGAAAGCAAATGTCAAAAACCATTACCTGTGGTGTATCTTATGGCACATTTGTGCTGTTTAGCTGTAGGCATCTTTTCACTCACTTGAGAGATTTGTCACTGTTCAACTCATTTTCTCATCAAGTGCCATATTTGGGTTTGTAGACTATTTAATCATCCTCACCATGTTCTTACAACTTCATTCCTTTCATTTCAGCCTTATCTCAATGGTGGTTTTGCAAACAGCAGCTTTGAAATGAGTGGCCTTCAGAGTGCCATCTATGTTAACGGACCTATAAATGATCCTCTACATAAAGGTAATATTCTACAATTTCTCAAAGCCCACCCCCCCCCCACCTTCACACACACCCACTCCCATCATTGGTCTATTCTTGTTTTTGTTTTTTGTTTTTTAAAGTTTTATTTTCATTCTGTACTTAATTAGATATGAACACTTTAAATCACATCTCGTGACCTTCATATATGTATCATGCATCAACAATCCTTCTGTTATGGCTTTACATTAACAAAAACCTGTGTCATCTATCACAATCCACCCTTTGTTACATGGAGCCCCTTGAAGGCATGCTTTATTCTACCATATATGGCATACTATAACATGCATGAAAGCTACAAACATTCTTAACAAATGCTGTAACATCACGGATATCTCCAATTCCGTTTAACCGCCAGTCAAAACCGGACGGTTTTCGGTTAAACGATTAAAAAAAATTTAAAAAAAAAAAAAAAAAAAAAAAAAAAAAAAAAAAAAAAAAAAATCGTTTTTTTTTTTTTATTTTATTTTTTTACCGACTCTGTCGGCAACTTTCATTTAACTGCGGGGTGCATTTAAAGGGGCCGATTTGTGCTTGTGAACTTGTCACAAATAATAGTAACAATGTTGTTTTTAGAAGAATGTGTAAGATCATTAATGTAAATTAAAAACAGTAGAGGACCTAGGACAGAACCTTGTGTAAAAGTTGGATGAATTATTATTATAAACTACATATTGAGATGATGAGATCTATTACAAAGATTACTTTCAAACCAAGATGACAGACAAATTGGAGTGTTGTTCTAGTTTTGGAGTGGTGAGTCAACACACAGATTACTGAGCTGGGAGACATTGCCAGGCATAGTGCCAGGTGAAGGGGCATAAATCGAAACTTTAAAAAAAAAAATTATAAAAAAAAAAAAAAAAAAAAAAAATATTAAAAAAAATAAAATAAAAAAAAATCGGGAAAACGAAACCGTCCAATTGAAAACGGAATCCGCCATGGGCGGTCGGATACCGGACGGTTAAACGTTTGTGTCGGCAAACTTTTACACATCACAGTTTCATGAGAGGCTGCCGTGATTGATATGTATAGTGAAATAGTACCTATAAGCTGTTGAATTTCAACCATTGGCTACTTTTGTTTCTTAAATAGATAAATACTGGACCGTGGAACTTGCACTGCCCTTGCAGAGTCTAGTAACAAATGATAGTGTAGCAAGGGCTCCCCCAAAACATGGAGACCAATGGAGAATAAATTTTAGCAGGTTGGTATTGACTGAATTGAATTTAATGATTATTGTTACATAAATTCTTCTTCCATTAGTATAAGAATAACAAAGGGTGTGCCACAAAAGAATTATACATAACAATGAAGTGATACTGTCTGAAAGCTCTATCAAAGAGAATTTAAGAAAAGTATAAAAAAAGATCTTAAGGGAGGAAAAGACATTTGATTACATATCGTCGCTGTTTTCACGAAGTGAAAAAAAATTGCATTCACCTTGCGTTACGATTTTTCTCACTACCGTCACTTCGTGAAAATAGGAAGAATATGATATCTATAGTATCTGTAAAATGTTTATTTCCTATCTGATCAAACACTGAAATGTGACCAATTTTGAACAGCAAAGTCCTCACATGCTGGTAAAAATGAATCAAGTAATAACTGATACATGTAGATATTAACATATTGGTAAGTTATTTCTAAAGTCTTTGTCATAATTACACATTACCTTTAAACTTCATCTTAAATCTTGATATTCTTACATGTGCAACTTTATCATTTTCTATTTCAATTTCAAGTTAATAGTTTATTTCATTCCCATTTCAATTTCTCTTGAAATTTATTAATTTCATTTTTATGTATAAATCACATTTTCTATTTAAATCTTATTACGTTGTGTTTGTCTCATTTTTAACAGAGTGGAATGGCATGTTAGAAATGTAGATGGACATTATGAAAAGGTAAATACAATGACATGCATAATTCTATTTTCCAAGTGATTTATGAAAGCAATTATGTATCAGAAATCACAGACTTTGCATTGTGCATTATATATGAGTCACAAGGTTGGGTTTTGCTGTCACCCCTGTAGTGGAAATATACTGTGTATCCCATCATTGAAGCCCTGTTAAAAAATAACAATTATACTGATTACAAAAAAAATGCTGGGACAAAGCTTTGTGTCTATTAAAAATGAATGGGGGAAAAAACACATTTTTTAACATATTTTTTATTATTTTTTTTAAATATTATTCCCTCTTTTTTTTTTTTTTTCTTTTTTTTTTTTTTTTGGGGGGGGGGGGGGGGGGGGGGATAGAAAATTATGTTTTTTAATTATATTATCCAGCAATGGCCCATGCCTGTACTCTTGAGCTGTAGGGTCATTTGTTTGTGTATGAGAATAGTTGATCATGATTGCTTGAACAGAATTACCAGTATCCATGTTGGATTAAACTGCCCATGTAATGGTCTTAGTCCGGTCTGATAAAATACACAGAAATAGCCTTCATGCATCACTACCGGCATAGCTCTTTAAAAATGTGGTCTTGAGTCAAAGAATTCATTGTTTACCTGTGGGTGATATGCTGCTTGTAAGGACATAGCATCCCAGTTTTGCTACCTGTAACTGGTAAACATAATCGTGAAGTCTGGACAAATTAGCATCATGTGATGGTCACAGCCGAGAGGGGTTTACTCTTCAATGCTGCTCACTCTTTTCCATCATGATCTTAGGAATGTCTTCTATCTCAAGATTAAGATTAGTGAAAATTATATCCATGATGTTGTGGGGGCATCTACTCCTGTTTATGCAGGGCATCTTCCAGCAGATGACATCTGCAAATATCTAGTTGTTATATTTAAGCCCTAGTTGGCCATAGTGTGCTGAAACAGGTTGTACAGGATTACAGCTTGGCCTGTAACACTGTATTGATCTGAACTGATCTGACTGACCTGACTGACTGAAAAAAGAGTTAATATATAATGCTGTCTTTTGTTCTATCATACCATAAGGTACCTGGGCTACCAGAAGACAACTGGGTCTGGTCCCCTCAGTATGCCATCAACATGCATCTTCCTGAAAGGTAGTGAATACAAGTTTTGTTTGTTTGTTTGTTCTTTTGTGTGTGTTTTTTTTTACCTTCTTTCACCCATTCTCCAAGGAGAAATAGAAACCAAAGGAGGGAATAGATATGGTATTATTTCATATCTGTTGTTTGATGCGACGATGCGACGACGACGGCGTGTAGTCTGCTCCCTCTTATCTCAAGTTTAACAAGTTATTTTGGACGTTTGGAGGAAATACTTTTACGTTACCTGCATACTGATTCTTCAGGGAAGAATGTAATATCTACATCGGATCCTTATGGGAGTAATCTGCCATGTTATCAATGTTCCTATAAGTCTGGTTTTGGCGAGACATCTATAGCTCCATGCTCTAAGTGTGCTGTACGTTCTACACGTAGTATGTTCTATCCTGTGCATGCTAGGAATGTTCAAGTGTGCTGTGCATAGTGTGTATGGAATGTTCTGACCTTTACACATAGTGTGATTTATTACCGCCCTGCTCCGAACTGACCATTAATTTCTTCCGACCTCAAAATGCCAACCACCAAGTCTCAGTCAGCAGACATTGCTCGGCAGGTTATCGCTGAGTTGGAAAGCAGCAGTCTTTTAAAGAAGTTGGTGAAAGATGCAGTCCAGGAGGCTGTATCTGGCATCGCTGCTCGGTTAGAGGAGCAAGAAGGGCGGGTAATGGATTTGGAGGGGAAGGTGAAAGCGCAGGAAGATGAAATCAAGCGCCTTCAGAAGGAAGGAGAAAGCTGTACAGTTTTTTGTTCGGCTTTAGAAATAAAGCTGGATGCGTTAGAGCAGCAGGGAAGGTGTAACAACATCCGAATCCTCGGAGTAAAGGAGTCTGCAGAGGAGATTCCGGAGGTGGTCGTGATGGAGGTTGGAGAGAAGCTTGGAGTCAAACTAACCCCAGCTGACTTCGATCGCTGTCATCGCCTCGGCACGTCTTCACCTGATGCCAATCAGAGGAAAAAACATCGCCCTCTTCTGGTAAAGTTTTCAAGCCGGCGCATCAGGGGTCTGGTAATGGGAGCCAGATCCAAGCTGAAAGGCACTGACATCTTCCTGAACGATGACCTCACACCCGCCAGACAGAAGCTTTTGTACAATGTCCGCCACTGCCCGAAAGTAGAGCGATCCTTTAGCCAAGAAGGAAGGATCTTTGCGGGCATTAAGAACACAAGCGGCGGCTTTACCAAAAAACTTATAACTTGTGATGCAGACATTGCTAAGCTCTGAAACTAACAGAACAGTACCCCAGCATCTCATTATCATACTTTCAGTATTTTTCCTTGCAGTTTTTCTATGGCAGCCTTTACATGCCCATTTTATTGCCTTATGTTATTTTTATACATTTTCTCGTTTTCATGTATTTTCTTATTTAACTTCTTTTTCTGGTCTCTTTTTTTTTCTTCTCACTCTCTTGCAATTATTATGGATGCTTCCTATATTGTTGCTTTAAATGTGTTTTTGTTACCTTTTAATCTTTGTAGTATATTTATCTCCCATATATGTGTTAATATGTTTTCTGACAATCTTCTTGACTTGTATTCCCATCACTTAGACTTCATATTTTATTTTGTGATTCCAATCCAAGATGGTTAATATAGAAGAAGTTGCTTGTAATATTTTAGAAAATAATGCAAGCACGCTAGAGCCCAATGTTAATGATAATTTTGATCATGCCTCTCCAATTGTTTGTCATTACTGTTCAGAAAATCAATTTATGGATGGGTTTCGTAATAAATGTGAAAATGATGTTACTGTCCTACATTTAAATGTTAGAAGTATGCATAAAAATGTTGATGCTTTTAATACTCTTATCAGAAACCTCAATGATAGCTCTACAATAATTGGGGTCTCGGAGACTTGGTTTTCGAGTGAGAGTGATGTTAATTTATATTCTATTTCTGGATATAGTTTGGTGTCTAATCACAGACGTGATAAAAGAGGCGGTGGTGTTGCTTTATACATTCCAGTTGGTATGGATTTCCAAGTAAGGCATGACTTAAATGTGATGACTGATCAGTTGGAGTCTATTTTTGTAGAGTGTTTTATTCCAGGCAAAAAGAATGTTATCTTTGGAGTTATATACAGACCTCCCCAGAGTAATATAGATCTTACTGTGAATGAATTGCAGAGTATATTGTTGAACCCACTATTTGTCAATAAGTCAATATTCTTAATGGGAGATTATAATATAAACCTTCTTCAATGTGATGAAAATGACCATTATAATGCTTTTTTGAATATGATGTTGTCATTTTCTTTAATGCCATTAATTACAAAACCCACAAGGGTAACTGATAGTTCATCTACCCTTATTGATAACATATTTTGTAATTTGCAACCTTTTCCACCTTCAGGTATTATAATATCAGATCTTTCAGATCATTTCCCTATCTTCACTAGAGTGAATTTTCGTAATACTGCTCATAAACATGAATGTAAATATATTCGTAAAAACAATCCTACTAACATTGAGAAGTTTCGAGAAGCACTAACGGCAACTGACTGGAGTGCAGTTTTACTTGAAAAGGATGTTAATATTTCATTCAACAATTTCTTTAATAAGTTTTTGCTACTCTATGATAAAATTGTTCCGATTTCCAAATGTAATACTAGAAATCGTAAGAAAATTCCACGCATGCCATGGGTCAGTGCTTCCTTGTTGAAGTCTATCAATAAGAAGAATAAGTTGTATTATTCTTATAAAGTTAGTGGAAGAGAATCATCACGTAAACGATATGTTGATTATAAAAACACCCTTACTTCAGTCTTGCGTGCAGCAAAGAAAACATATTATTTTGCTCAGTTTCAAGCAACTTCAAACGATATCAAAGGAACTTGGAAAGTGATAAGAAATGTGTTCATGTCAAAGAAAAAAAATTCTGATGTAAAGAATATTGAAATTGATGGTCGTTTAGTGGAAGATAAGAATATTATTGTGGAAAAATTCAATGATTATTTTTGCAGTATTGGTCCTAATCTGTCACGGGCGGTCCCTTCCTGTCAAAAATCTTTTAACGATTTCCTGAAAGAATCTAACAAGAAAAGCTTTTTCCTTTTCCCATTAGTTAGGGAAGAGTTGCTTACTATTGTGAATTCGCTTAAGGCTGGGAAAAGTCCTGGTTACGATGGTGTCAATAATGACATAATTAAACAGGTTATCTTAGCGATTATTCAACCCCTTATTCATGTTTTTAATTCATCAATGTTAAATGGAATAGTCCCCGAAAACATGAAAATTGCAAAAGTCGTACCCGTTTTTAAAAAGGGTGATCCTCAATCTTTTTCAAATTACCGTCCTATTTCACTTCTAACCTCCTTCTCAAAGATCCTTGAGAAAGTGATTTATGTTAGAACTTTAGAATTTTTCAACAAAAGTAAAATATTCTCAAATTTTCAGTTTGGGTTCCGAGAGAAACATACTACCTCTCATGCCTTGCTGCACTTTATAGATAAGATTTCACAAGCAATAGACAAAAAGATGCACACAATCGGTATATTCCTTGATTATTCCAAGGCATTTGATACTATAGATCATGAAATTTTGCTAGGGAAATTATCGCATTATGGTGTCAGGGGCACAGCTCTGGACTGGTTTAAGAGCTACTTAGCTGACAGGAAACAATTTGTTTCTTTAAACGGTTTTGATTCAGGGTTACAGAATGTCACATGCGGCGTTCCTCAGGGATCTCTCCTTGGTCCGCTCTTGTTTATTGTATATATTAATGACTTTCATTTCTCATCTGATATTTTGTCATTCATTTTATTTGCTGATGATTCCAGCTTGTACTATTCACACAAAAATTCACAAACTCTGTTAGAAACGGTTAATTTTGAACTAAGTAAAGTTACTTTGTGGATTCAAGCAAATAAATTGTCTTTAAATCTGCAAAAGACAAATTATATGTTTTTTAGTAATACAATCAAAGTGCTTCCAGGAGATGTATCATTTAATAATGTATTGATAGATAGGGTATCATCAACAAAATTCCTTGGTTTGCACATTGATGAGCAAATGAGTTGGAAAATTCATGTAAATCATCTCTATAAGACATTGTCAAGAAACAGTGGCGTAATTCATAAATTGAAATCAATTTTACCTAAAGGCATCCTTTTATTAATGTACTCAACATTAATCCTCCCCTATCTTAATTATGGTGTTCTTGCTTGGGGTAACTCTCTTAAAACTAACCTTGAAAAGTTATATTTGATTCAAAAGAGGGTCTTAAGAATTATTTGTAACGTTAGCTTTCGTACGCACACTAATCCGCTTTTTTATACGCATAGAATTTTAAAGGTGCAAGATATTTATCACCTTCAACTGGGTTCTTTAAAGGGGAAGTCCACCCTGAAATTAAGTTAGTTTTAATAGGAGTAGAAAAATGAGAGAAACAAGTCAGTGAAAGTTTGAGCAAATTCCGATTAACAATAAGGAAGTTAGGATTTTTGAAGTTGTGATCAATCAAACACAAATTGGCAACTCTATGACGTATCATGCGAGCTCAACTTCCATTTGCTCAGTACTAAAAAAATCTAAAATTTTCATTTTCCCTCAAGAAAAATTTCAACCATACATGCACCCTAAATATAATAATTGCAAATATGTTTCTATACTTCCCCTGCAAGGAACAAATATATATTCCGTCATCAATAACGAAGAAAACATGATTTTATGGAATATTATGCACAAAGCAAATGAAGGAGAGCTCGTATAATAAGTCACAGAGTTGCCAATTTGTATTTGATTGATCACAACTTCAATAATTCATAACTTTCTTATTTTCATTCAGAATTTGCTCAAACTTTCACTCACCTGATTTTCTTATTATTCTGCCTCTATCGAAACAAACTTATTTTGGGGATGGACTTTCCCTTTAATGTACAACTTCGATTCTGGTGTCCTTCCACAGGCTCTAGTCAGCATTTTTAAGAAAAATAGTCAAGTTCATGACCATGCTACACGAAATGCCTCTGCGTTTCACTTACCCCAAGTAAGGACAAAGTTAACTTTTAATACTTTGGTTTTTACTGGACCTAAATTTTGGAACTCTCTAGGCTCTAGCGTTAAGCAATCTGTTAGTCTCTCTTCATTTAAGTGTAAACTTAAGGTTTATCTTCTCGATAAATACTGTGACTCATAGAGTAGTTCATTTTTGTAGTTATTATGGTGCCAAGATATATTATGTATTACTATAAATGTAAATTTTCTTCTTGATATTAATATGTGTCTAACTGAATATTTTCAGATTGTCAACCTCTTATTCCCTCCCCCTGTTGTCTTGTGCCCGTTGTGTGCTGTGCCTATTGTCGATGTGCTGTATTCTTCTATTATTTCTCATATTTTCTCTTTTCTCCCGTCTTGTCTAGTCTAGTCTCTCTTTTTGTTGTTGTTGTTGTGTGTGTGTACACTTCTTGTTTTGTTATACCCCCTTTTCCCTATTGTATTCTTAGGTAGTCACAAATATTTATTCATCATGTTTTATCCGGCTCAGAGGGGACCCTAATAATTACAAGCTCTGCTTTTACCAGGGTCTCCTCGTCTTTCTTTTAGTTAGCTATGTTTTTTATCATTATCATAATTTGTTATTTTGCTTTGTAAATGTGTTATGATCCAATGTTATGCTCTGTATGTCATTTGAAAGAAAGACGAATAAAATCTTATCTTATCTTATCTTATATTTGTATTGTTGCATTATGGGACAAATCTTGAAGAGGATAACGGTACAAATTGGAATGGAGAGAGAGAGAGAGAGAGAGAGAGAGAGGTGGAAAAAGAGAGACAGGCATACATACCAAGAAACGGACAGACATAGACAAAAAGAGGTAGAGAGGGAAGTGGACTAAGATAATAAGTGAAAGAGAGAAAAAAAGAAGTAATGAAAGAGTGAGAGTAATAATAGTTTTTTTATTTTGTTTATTTGTGAATTAGTAATTATAATGTTATAAAGAGAATGTGTTCAACTCATTAATCTTACTTATAGCTTTGTAGAGAAAAAATAATTCACCATCCACATTGCCTCCATTAATGACCAAGCAATGTAAATCCATTCATAAATTTACAATAATAACAACAATATTCAGTTCTTGTATAGCGCATATCACATTATATGACGTCCCTATTCGCTTCCAAAAAGCTTTGAAAAGTATTACCCTATTTAGTGATTAAACATGTTTATTTTGTGAATCTCTATGGAAACTAGGTTGGGAAATAGGACGTACAGTATATATATAAATGTATACAATATTCATAGCTAAGACATCATTTGGACGTCTTTTTAAAATCGTTCACATTTCTTAACCTAAGAATATTTTTTCTTGTCAATTCTTGCCTGGTCTTAGATGGGGCATGATTCAGTTCAGTGCTGATGCAGTCAACCAAACCAAGTTTAAGAGAGATCCTAACTGGCCTGTCTACACCAGCCTAGTAGCAGTCTACAATGCTGAAAAGGTGATGATAATGGTGATGTACATGATGTTGATGAGGATGATGATGATGAGGATGATGAGGATGATGATGATGACGACGACAATGATGACGATGATGATATTAGTATTATGACAATAATGATAATTATCAGAAACTTGATATTGGTAATGGGATGATGGTGATGAAAATAAATGTTGAAATAAATATTATGTTGGTAGAAGGATGATGAGGAGGATGATGAAATTATAATCGTAATAGTAATGTTGTTTATAAGATAGATGATATTAGTAATAGGACATTAATGTTAATGATATGGAGAAATACAAAATTTGTGATATGATGATGATGAGAATGGCGATAATTATATGTTAATATCCAACAAATGGTACATTAGGGTAATGATAGTAGTAATGATGCAATTTTAGATATTAGTATTGATGTTGATGTTGCATTAAAAATACTAAAATTAAATAGCTTGGACCCTGTATCAAGAAGAATGCTTTGTTTGTAACAATCGTCCTTGCATTTCAATTTCTCTCCATCAGGAGTTCTTTTCTGTGGAAGGCTACTTCACAGAGGACATTAATGGTCTGAATTTACCAGACTACGTCAGGAGTGGGATATGTGCTCAGCCTCCTAACATCACTGTTATACAGAACTATAGATTCACTGCTACGGTCCAGCCACTGACCAAGGGTCTTAAGACTGGACATGTACAGGATGACCGTCTCATATGGTTCACATCATGATGCATATTTATCAGGAAGTCTTTTCTGTAGAAGGCTACTTCACAGAGGACATTAATGGTCTGAATATACCAGACTACGTCAGGATTGGGATATGTCCTCAGCCTCCTAACATCACTGTTATACAGAACTACAGATTCACTGCTACGGTCCAGCCACTGACCAAGGGTCTTAAGACTGGACATGTACAGGATGACCGCCTCATACGGTTCATAGGCAGTCATCTGCTCAATATAAACCGCAATGTACTTTTTTATATCATTAAAAAAAAACCTGAAAGCCTAGTTCAAATTTGATATGGTAAAATACCTTTAAAATAAAGACAGGATACAACTTCAGCATTTTGCACGTCATATACCGGTACATATATTTGTAATGTATTACACAAAAACATAGATACCTGGGGTAAGTTGCTTGAGGGGTTTTGTTGTGCACAGTTGTTGTGCCATATATTTATGCATAAAATGGACTTAATTTTCTTCCCATAGCACCTTTTTTTGTCATTAAAAAAAGAAAAATTGAGATATTTTACTGCATCATATATGTGAACAAGGCTAACAACTTGTTGTAGGTTTCGGTAATGGAATTACATTTGAAGAGAAGCGATAGATGCAATAGATGGGTCTTTTTTACCATCAAAAGTAACGTAAGCTTGCTGAAAATCACATTGACTGAAATTTGCAGCTCATGCATGTTTTAGACTGTATATTATGGGCATGATGGAATAGTTCATTTGATACTTCTTGCTCTTTACCCGGAAATATAATTTTCTACCAACTTGTAATAGCAAATATCATTTATATTAGTTTAAACAGTCAGTGCTAAGGTTTGTTTGATTATGTGAGAATTTTTTTACCAAAACTCAAGATTACCTTTTTATAACACTGGATGAATTGAGTGTTTTGAAATAGCTGTACTGAATAAGAACACAATGAATTGTGAGATACAGATGTACATGTATATAACTTTCAAGTTTATGTGCGATGAAGTTCTAGTGGGGGTTTGTAGGAAATGATGTTCATACCCTAAAACCTGATTATCTCATATTTCAGATCATAACAAACTTTCAAAGGACAGTAGTTTTCATTAATTTTGAAAAATTTAAATCTTGAAGAGATCAAAAGAAAAACAATATCTGATATGAACGCTGAAGTTATACTTTGAATGACATTTTCGCTTAACTTTGTACAGTCCCAGTTTTGCCTCACTATAATCCAGAGGGAGCATATATGTAATCTATGCATTTCGCTCTATTATGTGTTTAAACAATGTACTATTCAAGACCAAGTATGAAACATAACATTTCAGTGCCATTTTGTGTGTTTCTTTGTAGATATTTGTTATTTGTTCTGAATAGAAACTTTGGGGAGAATTAATAATTTCAAAATGAATTGTTGGCATAGTTATCAAATAATTTAACATTAGCACATGATGCAAAAAACAGAAAGAGGCACAATATCTTGGTTATTTAGGACACCAGTCATAGTAGAATTGTGAGATGAAAATGTCAGCCAATAAATAGCAATTAGTATTACTTCTTTTCAGGAATTGTCTAATTACATACTTTTTAGTCCGATACAAATATTGGTTGACATTAGACATTGTGCAACCAATTGGAATGGAATACTTCTTTGTCTGTAGTTAAGTGTTTATCTATGAAGCTTCATTAGACTTTTTTTTAAAGTTTCTTACAATGGATGTATTGATATTGAAATTTCTTAAGATTTATACTGCAGTTTTCCTTTAAATTTCTACCTTGAACTTAAGTTTGTGATCATGTACTACATGTAAAATAAGTCTTCCTGCAGTGTAAAATGATTGTTTATATATATGATGAAATATACAGAAGTACACTGATTAAACTATTTGAAGAATTATTATTTCAAATTAATTGTTCATCTTTATTTAGTGGATTTTGTGGTGCTTACATATTTTTTAGAATCATAATAATCATCATCAACAATTTTGTATTTATATCTGCTAAAGAAGAGAATGTGCATACATTGTATGCTGGGAAAGCCTGAATCTAATGACTGCAGTAATAATATATTTGAAAAGCACTTAGAGACATTGTCAATGTATTAAGCGCTATATAAAAGCGAAATATTATTATTTATCTTCAACCCGAAACCCCATATCATCAGCAGCAGCAAAATCTTTCTCATAATAAACACCACCTCAATCCTCATATCCTCCTCCCCTTTGATCATCATCACACCATTTCTTTCCATTATTCTTTCCTTTTCCAAACTTGCATCTACATCATCATATGAATTCAAAATGGACAAACTTGACCAGAAGTAGAAAAGACATATATTTGTACAATACCTATTTAATAGTTCATCTAAGTCTTGGAATTATACTTATACATCACATACATAGGCGCATTCTGTTAGGCAATAAAAATCACAAAACTGTTTCCTTGACAATAAAATGTGGAGCAGAACAATTGATTCATGCAGTGTATACACCATATACTTTGCAAAGCCTTGTCGCAGTACAAAGTTGAAATAACTATTACTACTACATGTACCTTGCTTCAATAGCTAATTATCTTTATTATCTATTGATTGCACGCAAGGTCATAGCAAATTGTTCTGAAGGTCAGAACTCCTACTGACTTTGAGATATATGATTTACAAACTTAGCTTCCATAATGAATTTCTTTGCGGTCCCAATTTGCAGATGCAAAATGTTAACAAATTATATTACATGTCATTTTTAAAATAAATGCCATTACATGAATCAAACTAGGAATGATAAGGTTGCTACAAAAAGAAGGAAAAAAATAACAATGGTACCAAGCGGCTGCAAAGACACAAATCCCCAAAGCTACAAAATAAATTGTTGAAGCTGGCGTTTATGAAATACAGCTACATCCAATCAATTAGTTAATTTAGCTTCACACATTAACAACTAATTGGTTAATGAAGCTTTTATAATGTCACACCGTTAATAGCTATGTTGTATTTGCATTAGTGGAAATGCAATAACTGTAATAATGCTAGCAATGACCTTGATCAATGGTGTGATCAGCAAGTGAGAGGGGGAGGCAAGAAAAAAACTAAGGAACAACTGATCATCGCAATGGTCGATCAAGTTTTAATAGCTCAAAAGAAACACTTAAGAATCAAATCCTTAATTATTTTCAAATGTTCTGCTTCTCTTAATGCCAAAAACACAGAATTCCTTAAAAATTTGATTTGTCGATTTTAAGTTCAAATACAAAATGCAGTGTATAAAGTTAACACATTGTCATTTCAACCTGGCTCATGTAGGGTGACAAAGTACTTAATTACTGATGAAATATCCACACATAAATATATATCTCCACATATCTTTTAATGTATCCAAGTTGTAGGGGTTTAAATAATACATCAAAAAATCATCAAAACATGGTGGCAATGATAAAAACAATTCCAAAACAATAGCACTAACGATGGATCCGCCTGGATGAAACAATCATTTTCCAATTTAAATATCAGTTTACTGTTGTTATTTTGAAATGAAATGATTTTTTTTAAACTTCCCTTTTGATACAGAAGTAGAAATATCCACACCAGTCATCAACCTTCGGCCTTTTCAAAATTCAATTTTCTTGGCTGTTGATCATAAACAGCAGAATGAAACCTAATCCCATTAAATTTAGGCAGCATATGAAGGCACAAATGTACAAATTGAGAGTGACTCCTATAATATGATTAAATCATTATACAGCCATTGTAACGCTTTTCACATCTGGATGCAGTTCGATCTCTCTCAAGCAATATAGTTTATTTCTCTTGGCCTACCACGAGGCATAGATCATCAAATGGAGAAAGAGAGTAACATGCATTAACAGGCAATTTCTTCTGTACATATGATTTTTTGTTTCTTGATGGGGAAAATGGTATAAGATAATACAAAAAAATGTGGTGAGAATAAATGGAATTGATGAGTTCAGTGAGAGAGGTTATGAACGTAATATGACTAGTCAAATTGTGTGGCAGATTTTCTTCACTTGTATTACATTACTGTTGTGTAATCTACTGGAACATGTAAGAAATTTTCATCCCATAACTCAAAAGGAAGGAGGATAGGGTGCTACCAAATGGAAAATACAAGACCTAACAATTTTTAGATAACAGAAGATTTAACTTAAATTAACTTGGATTTTGGAAGATATAGAGACATTCAAGTCGGTTTTATCTTCTGATGTCCATAATCATACGAGGATAAAAATGCGGACAGTACATGCACCGATTCACCAGTGCTGCAAAATAATAGTGCAATTATAACAATATGATATATACATAGTTATAAATCTGTTTATCACAGAGTTGTTAATGATTGAAGTCATAGTAGAGTATTTTCACGGCATTAGGGAAAACTGATGGACTGACTGCTCTAGTTTTGTCTGTCTTCATAAACCATAACCGCAGATACATTTACAACAATTGACCCTAAAAGGGCTGGGTTGTTTCTGTGCTCTGTCAGTAGGATTCCACCCCTGAGGCTATACAGTCATGAATGCTTTCAGTGTAAATAAAAAAAACAATCCATAAATAAAATAATAAACTCATCCTCAAACATATCACCATGCAAGTCCAGGGGGGAGGATTCTGCCCCCGCCTTTTTAGGGTTAAGTTGGTTACTGTACTAAATACATGTATCACTCTGATGTTTTCAGACAGTATTTTCCAATACAATGTGAGCTGCTTACGGATGTGCACAAGAACACTCAGATTCAAAGCGAGAGAAATCTAAACAACAATGAAACTGACTTTAACAGGTGAATAAAACTATGGGCGATTTGTGAAACCCTTCGTAGGATTGACCTCTTTCAACAAAGAATTCTGAGAAAGAAAAAAAAAAGACCCAAGGATATGAGGGTGTGACTGGCATACTATACTCTGGCTTCAAACATTGTTAGAATAATAGCAAGGTTTATGAGGAGCTAGATACAGCAAGTTTCTTGAGATGATCCATGAACACTTGTAAACTGACATCATCTGTAAGCACTGGAGCACTTCCGTCCTACAAAGAAAAACAAGACATTATGAGAAGTCAGCAATGCCTAAAAAAATAAAAATAGAAACAAACAAGCAATTTATTCAGATTTAAATTGTACTTTCTATTAATTCTACCAGAATATAGACAATACTTATTAAAATCTCAAAATATACTCATATAAAATAAATGAAGGTTAACTCTATAGTAAATATGTCATCTAAAGTTCCCCGATCCCCACAATGTTTTAGGAATAAAAATCTTATTCACAATGACTGAACAAATCTTTAAAAAACTTATATTGATTTATTACCCAAATTATTACATGAACATTAAGTTTACATTCCTTAAATGTATAAAACGTTTCAAGATACCAGATACAAATCAATAAAGCATTAACTCATGTCAAGCAGTTTTCTTTAGCTATGTATTACCTGTCCCCATCCATATGAGTTATGTGACTGCGATGGGTTGACTTTGCTGAGGAGGAAGCGAGCCTGAAACAAAACCAAAATATGATTGTTAAAATTAATGTGCTATGCTGTAATCATAACTCATCAACCCTTCATTAAATGTGTTTGTTTGAAAACAGTTCCCCTAATATATTAAAGCAAACTCTCTGTTTAAATGAAGACCAGTCTGTAGTGAAAAAATAAAATATATATGATTTGTATATTGATGCAAGATTGAGAAACATGCATCAAATTTCTCTTCCATATAACATTTATCATAATCATTTTTCTTGAAAGAGCTTTCATCTTCTTTACAGAATTTTATGATAATAATAATAATAATAATAATAGTTTGTTCTTTTATAGCGCATTTCAGGACCGAAGGCCCTCTCAAAGCGCTTTATAATGTACAATGAATGTTTACATAATAATTACTCGAAGCATTCATCAAAAAGGTGAGATTTCAGCACTCTCTTAAAAACTAATAAACATAATTAGTATCATCAAAACACTGAAAATAATGCGAATAAAAAAAATAATAAATCAAAACAATAGCAGAAATAGAACATTTAAAACTATATATCAACAGCATTGTATCACTGTCTATAAAAAAAAAACTTCTCTGTACCTGACTCTTGCCCTCTTCGCATACAATGTAACGTGGCATGGGGAAGCGATTCTGGAGGATTTCCTGGGCATCGTCTTGTGGTGCTCCGAGGAGCTGCTTGAAGTTCTCATGTCCGTCCTGTTCATGGAAACCCTGCTTGTACCATGTGGCAATTGTCTGTAGGGATGAATAGAAGATATGAAATTGAATGATGAATAGACATAATGATGCTTCATCATAACAAACAAAATTGAGACATACTTTTTGAAGCAGTACTGAATTAAGCAATGGTTCATGCAATAATTGATATTTCTTTACAAATTTGCATTCAACATTAAAATTGTTCACTGATATTAAACAGAGGGAGAATAAGGAAGAGAGGAGAGGGGGAGGGGAATACAGAGAGAGCTAGGGAAATGAGGAGGAGAAGAGAGAGGGGATACATATACAGGGAGATAGAGGTTGGGGGAGGAGAAAAAGAGAAAGAGAAAGAGAAAAGGAGAGAGGAAAAGTGAGAGATAGACAGAGACAGAGAGTCATAGAAGCAATCCATCTATAGACGTATCACCCATGCAAACACTTTATGTGAAGAAGAGATATTGATCAGTGATACCAAAGGAGTAAACATGTGCTTCATACCTTGCCATGGTAGATAAGTAGCTGGAAGAAGGTGTCCATGAGAAGGATGCGATCCGGGAGGATGCTGCTGCTATCCAGGAGTACAGGCTGTAGGAGAGACAGAGACAGAGAGACAGAGGGAAACAGAGAGAGAGAGAGAGAGACAGACAGACAGAGAAAGAGAGAGAGAGAGAGAGAGGGAGAGAAGAGAAACAATAAAATGATAATGGTAATTGATTTTCCTTTTTGCTTTCAGGAAATGCACTTAAAGTGTCAAAGGCAATAATAGAATATTACAGTCGTATATGTAACTTCAAGAACAAGAAATACATGCAATAATTTCCTTATTAACTTTTGAATGAGATTTTACAGTATTGAGGATAGAATAGACATATATGCATGCATGTACATACAGATATACAAATCAAATATTTTCATTACAAAAGGTTAAATAGGAGCTTTAAACTGTAACTAGATGAGGCACTCACAATTACCCTCTTATATCAATATTTATGATACAAACTCTCTAGATGCCCATCGATACCACTGACCAACTATTCAGATAAAACCTGTATCCTAATATATCACTTGTCGTTTCTAGGCAAATCAAGAATTTCCCAGTGAAAGTCCAAAATGAAGACAAAAAAAAACTGGGATATATTTGCACTCCATCGATCAAACAAACTAATCTAGGTCTTCAAATATTGGAAAATTACTGCAAAACTCAAGCATAGTGTTTGCGGATGATTCTGTTGCTAGGTATCATAAGCAGAACTAGCGCAATCACAATCAGTAACGTCACTACTTTTTTAGAATGATTATTATTCCTCTTTAGTGTTTGTGGGGCAAAAGTTCATGTTTGAACAGGTCCAATACTGATGTCACTACACATGTAGCAGAACAACCCCTCGTCAAACCTCCCTACTTTCCCACCCTCCTCCCTACCCCCCCCCCCCCCCCCCCCCCATAAAAAAAATGTGAAGAAAAAACACAAGGAGGAGAGGAAAACGACAGAGAGAGAGAAAGAAAAAGGGAGATAAAATCCCCCTTACATCCGATTGAAGATAATTAGTTTTATTTATTCCACATTTTACATAGAAGAACAGTTTATATTCTTTTCTTTTTTATACATCTGTATATTATTATAAGAATATATTTCACACAAGAAAACAAAAATTAAAAAATTAGAGATTACACATCAAATATAATGTACGTAAAATAAGTATGAAATTTGAAATATGTATATATTACAGGCAATATGTATATTACAAAATACTATATCACTACAGGGTCTACAAAGATATCACCTCCGTGTATTTGAAGACCTCTAATACCCTTTTCTAACTGGCCTGATTTTCATCGGATGCATCCGGATGCAACTGATGAAACAGCCAGTATGAAAGCAACAGAGGAGAAAAAGGCGATTAAATAGCCGATGAAAAGAAGAGAAATAGGTGATTAAATTCTCATTCTATTGGTGTGACACCGATGAAACGACCAGTATGAAAGCATTCGGGAGAAAAAGGCATTTCAATGGTCAAAGGTCGCAGTATACGCGCGCTTTATCGTAACCAGCTGTGTTTGTTGACTTATGGTTGAACATGCTGCACGCTAGCTAGATGGAGCGCGGGCTTGCCACAGCGAGTGAATTTCACCGGCAGTTTGAAAGCGACAGGGAGAAAACGGAGGTTTCACTTTTGTTTAGATAAGGAAAATTCAATCGGTATTTTCATCGGTGTGACTCTGATAGAAGCCAGTTTGAAAGCAGTATAAGAGTAGGGGATATATACTTTACCATCATGAAACAGTCATAGCAATTAATACAGGGTATATCTAAATATCAGCTAAATATTTATCACTGAAGGACAAAGTACTTCAGGGTATATCACGAAGCAAACATGATGGCTAACTGAAGCTTTAAGAATACAGAGTTGCATCATTACAAATTTTTGCATAATTACTACAGGGTATGTCAAGAAACCAACAAGATGGCGTACCTCTATACTGCTAAAGCTGTAGGAGTAGAGGGGGGTAGGCTGTATCATACAAAATCCTATTACTACAGGGTGTGCCAAAAAATGATCAAGGCTTACCTCTATGCCATTTAAGCTGTAGGAGTAGAGGGGTAGGCTGTATCATACAAAATCCTATTACTACAGGGTGTGCCAAAAAATGATCAAGGCTTACCTCTATGCCATTTAAGCTGTAGGAGTAGAGGGGTAGGCTGTATCATACTAAAGCCTATTTATTACAGGGTGTGTCAAGAAGCGATCATGGCTTACCTCTGTGCCACTAAAGCTGTAGGAGTAGAGGGGTAAGCTGTATCATACTAAAGCCTTTTAATTACAGGGTGTGTCAAGAAATAATCATGGCTTACTTCTGTGCCATTCAAGCTGTAGCAGAAGAGGAAAGACTACCAGACTGCAGCCTACTACAGGGTGTGCCAAGAAATCAACATGACTTACCTCTGTGCCATTGAAGATATGAGAATAGAGGACAGACTGTATTATACTGCATTCTATTAAAGATACTATGTCCCTTTCAAATTCTGTAGAACTTTGCAGGAATAATGAATATGTCATGTATGTCCTATCTGTGAAATTTAAACGTTAGCAGTGTCCTAATATTCAAATTATCCAAGGATTTTAGGCCTAATACAGTACAAGGTACATCAAGAAGCGAACAAAATGACTTACCTCTGTGCCATTGAAGCTGTATGAGTAGAGGATAGGCTGTATCATAACAAGGCTCTGGGTAAGGTCTTCCCTTATAAGCATGTGACGGTAGAAGGACGTCTCATCCGGGCTGTTGTTGAAGACCTGAAGGAACTGGGATCTTCGCAGGTGGAACATGAACTGTGGGGATGCAAGCGAGTAGATTAATAACATCAGGAATGAAGAAACAGAGAGATTATGGAAAGAGAAAGATACAGAGAGGGAGAGAGAGAGAGAAAGATACAGAGAGAGAGAGAGAGAGGGAGAGAGAGAGAGAGAAAGAGAGAGAGACGGGAGGTGTGTGAAAGAGAGACCTAAGACAGAGAAATAATTGATAACTATTTTTCACCATTATCAGATTTTTTTTCTATTACTTTTTTTCTTCTCTATGGCAGTGTCTATCATTTACTATCTATCACCTATTTTCATATCTTGATATTCTTTCTATTCTCTAGACCTACTTTCAAATGAAAAGAAAAAATTGATTGTCCTTTCTTACACAAAGGACTAAATTACAGTCTTTATTCTCTCATACATGTCAATACAGATGATAAATGTAACCTGAACAAAAAGCTCAAGGAAAAATAAGAGGTGAATTAAAAATTGTTTTTATTATCTGAAGTTCTGAATAGGATAAGGACAAAGGATACTAATTTGTTCTAAAAATTGCCACATAATTATACTACACATCTACCCTTCCATCATAACCGATGTGTAAAATCAAGATAAATGTATGGTGATCATCAGTTTGTTTGTTTATATTACCCATTATTTCTATTAAAATCAATCCTTGAAATGTTTCCACGATTATATTTTTTCATGTAATAACACTGTATGATTTGTCCAAGATAATTTAGTTTTGTCCTTGGCTATTATGTCTTTGTTGTTGTGCCAGTTTGATTAATAGACTAGACTGCTAGGAGACAAGAGAAAAGATCGTTTAGAACTGCCATTAGCGTCAATTAACTTCAAATTGTGCTTGGCAGTTAAACGATCCTTTAGGCCTTAAGATTTGTTGTGAAAGCCTCAGACCATTAAAATCATGTCTATTCCTTAATGTCTCAACATAAGGCAAAGTCAGTAGCCTTCAATTAGTACCTGGCAAGACTTTTTTTGTCATTACCTATGCAATGAAACTAAGAGACCAATTTTTAAGTAATGCGTCCAAGAATCACCTAAGTCACTTGTTATGTGTAAAACGACCTCAAAAGAGGGAATCAACCTTGCCTAAAATAATTTTTGTTATGTCTCGTGTGTAATAAAGATTTGGGTTGTCAAGATTAACTTTTGCTAAAAAGGAATAATTATCACATTTTGAATACAGTACTAAACTGGTCCTGTATCTATAAAAATATTCGTATACGCATTTTCCCAAGAGAAAATGCACAGCCTCATTATATATGAACCAGGAAATCATCAATCTGAAGAAGAAAAAGAAAAGAGGCAAAAGATAAAATAACATACATGTATGAAGCATAGTTCCCCTGGAATTCATGATCTTATAACGCACGGGAAACATGAGTACATTTTCAGGCCTTTGTAACATAAAGCTATTTTTTCTCACTCCCACTGGCCATTCATTACGATTTAAAAGAGTTCTAATTTGCCTGTGGCAATCTACCGCATCATACCACAGCGTCTTTACTGACCTGCGGATAGAGTGAGAACTCTTGGGGCAGGCGGAAGGACTCAGGGTTGTCCTTGTGATACTCGCCAAACTTCTGGCACAGTCTGATGAGCATGCGGTCAAGCCAGCGCAGGACGTCTCCTCCTTCCTCGTTGATTGCTCTGTTGACCGCTAGTCTTGCCATGAGAACGGCTGCAGCCTCCTGGTCAAACCCTGCTGCTATGTGAGTGATCTGTGTCGCAGCATCAGCCCAACTAGATTATAAGAAAGGGTTTGAAAATATTTGTGACTGATAATGTTGAAAGATGACTCAATAACTTGCCGTAACATATATAGGCAAATCAAAATTTATATTTATTTCAAGTCAAAAGAAGTCTGTGCAGTGAGACTAGCTTTCATAATGATAGATTTTGTGGTAAAAATTGGATACTGAAAATAGTGAGAGCCTCCTTTAAACCAGTGTGACTCAACTGATATCCCTTGTTTTAGGAACTGTTACAATAAATATTCAGAATTAAACTACATGCATGCAGATAAATGAGACTAATGCATAGCTGGAAGAAATGGTGCACAGAATATCAAATGACCATGGCATCAAGAATCATGTAACACAAAGATCAATGTTTTCTCACTAACTGACATCATCAATAAGGTGATAAATACAGTTTCTAAGAAAACAACATTCTTCTTTTGTTATCCAAAGAATTTCTCTTTTTAATGGCAACTAATGTCTCCATTCTTGGCCGCGTCTTGTTTCCTTCTCAAATGTAGGCTGCAGCAATAAAACGATATTCTAGACATCTCTTCCTGTGAAACCATATTTAATGCATCACATTCACACTAACATTGAAATGTATATTGGTTGGATATTGATCATGCTATGATAAACTATCTTCACTTATCATGGTTTATCAGATTGCATTCACTGACAAGCATTACTTGAAGCACGTCCCCGTAATCAATCTACTAAAAAAATACAAGCATGTCGTTTTTTGCTGTATTCTTCTAATGGTTGATGTGCATGATCAAATGTATATTTTCCTAAACCCAGAATACAGCAACATTATTTAATGGAGCAAAGAGAGATGCTTATCATATATTTTGTAACAGGAAATTATGAACACTCACTGTGTTCCATGATATTAAACTACACCATTATTGAACCATACTATCATTTGCAATAAAGTTGGACAAGTTTTTCCTAATCCATAGATATTAAGAATAAAATACCCAATTTGGGAAGGTACAAAATTTAAACCATATTTCTAAAAATGCTCTCTAATAGAACTTCAATCAATGTGACATGTACATTGTAGCAGCACCATGTTTTAAATAGTTTTAACCATACAGATGCTCTACATAATTAAGTTTGTCCTACAAATGCCTTATTCTTATCTATCATACAAACATGTCTCTTGTGTTCCTGACTTACTTTCTGGCTAAAGTGGTCACTCTCACACGCCTTTGGCCGCTGGAATGCTGATACTGAGTAACAAACTGGACACACCCTCTACCGCCTTGTGGTATTGGAGCATTGTGCTATAAAAAGATAGAGAGAGAGAGAGAAAAAAAAAAATCATGACAAAATGATCCACAGAATAAAGAGTAATACTGTTAAAGGGGGTGTAGCATGGTGAATACTGTTTAACGCCATCTACGACTTCTTTTGGACAACTGCACGTAAATGAATGGACTTGATTAATGGTCAGCATGCGCTATAGCGTTCGCGAAACAGACCAAAGTTCTCCACGTGCTTCGGTTTTGCGTATGTTGCACGCACGTGAATACTGCGGTCGCGTCGTCCGTAGTTGTATTATACCCGATTGGCCCTGAGTCAGGCCACGGGAAAGACACGTTATCTCGTCATGCTACACAACCTTTAAGGTGTATGGCACAAAGAAGTAGAACTAATGACAGAATGCTCGTCTTAAAACAATAATATACATGGATGCCAGAAAGAATTGATGACAGGGTCTAAAAATAGTCAAACATGAGCTATTTGTTCGATAGGAGAGGCTAGAAATATAGCATAAAAAACACTTGCAAGGGCCTGAATATGCTTTTGCCTGAAAACTGGAGTTACTGAATAAATGAAAGTACCTTTTTTTTTTTTAATTGACAAGGGGGATATTAGTTTCAAAGTTATCTGTTAAGAGTTCATGCATATAGCAGATGTCTCCACACCTTATAAAGTATACAGGTGTAGGTAATATGGTACAATTATATTAGTATCTTAAGACGGACATTAATATTTATAAGCATTACATCATAATCTCATGGTAGAGATGACAGCATGGAAGTAGATATAAGGTGTCAAGGTGTGAGCATTAAATATTCATAGAACTCTCTCTCTCTCTCCACATGGAAAGGATATTTCATAGTATATAGACATTCTCCATGACTGAAGCTACAATAGATAGAAACATGTACATTATTATTTTACAAGGTAATGTAGTCCTGGAAAAACAGATCAATATTCAAAATATTATTCATACAAATCATAGTGGCTGAATTGGCTTATAAAAAATTTACAAGCATGAATAAGCTAACAAAACAAAAAAGAGAAGATAATTTAAGTAAGATGAATCTGGTGAAAAGGCAATGCGTCCCTGGAGAGCTCAAACAAGCTCTGACTTATTATTACATGAAAAGCTTTTAAATAAAGTAATGAACATCTCAAAATGAAACTATACCACCCTATTTCCATACAATTTTTTTCTTCTGTGAACAAATTGTGATTGTCTCACTGGTTACTATGAGGAGGTATATTTCAGTTCAATTCAAACAATTCAAAGTTGCAAGTAAGCGTGCCGGCATTGAAAAGAACAATATAATGAAAGAGGCTTTCATTCTCAACACCTCCAATAGTTGTAAAGTTGTAAAATGAACTTATATTTATTATTTAGAGTGACATATTTCATTTGATTGCGTTGACCATGCAATGCTCACAAAAGTTTTCACCACTACCAACAGACTTCTATTAAAATGTGTACAGTTGACAGACTACTGTAAATAATCAAACTGTGATTTGGATATTAATATGCTCATATCTACCACAGATCACACATATTCATTCATTCATTGTCTATGCCCAAGTAGCATGCCTGATTAAAAATTCCCACATTAGGTCTATTTATCCAAACATTGAGGAAACTAACAGAAGATTCTGGGTATTATCCTTAGTGGGCTCTATTTGTTTGAGCTCAGGCAGGAAATACCAGTGAGTTTTCAAATTTCCATTAAACAAAAGAATATACCTCACATAACCACAATACCCGTTTTAAAGATTCTTTTCACTTATGGCCAGTAAAAACAAATAAGGTAATAAAATCAGTACGTCATAATTTCCCTGTAATTTGGAACTCCATCCCTAAATATATTTCTGATTGCAAGTCAATTAATTCCTTCAAAAAAAAGTTGAAGCAGTTTCTTTATCTCAAATATGTATAGTTACTTATCTTATGTTTATATTTGTGTTATATGTTTTTTGTTTTTTGTTTCTTTTTATTTAATGTTCGTTTTTTTTTTTCTTATTTTAAATCTTTGCTTTACATTATGCTATGAATGCTTTGGGAACTATGCGTGTAAAAGGCCTAAGGGCTTTATTTATGTAGTTCCCCATTTCATTTCTAAATTTGTTCATGAATAATTTTGTATCTTTTGTATCAATGTAATTTTTAATCGAGAATGAAATAAATGCGAATTCAATTCAATTCAATTCAATAACGTAGCCACGCTAGAGTGTTATTTGATTGTTAGCATAAGTATGTGAAATAATGCCAAAAATTAAAATTGCAGAATAAACTCATTTGCCCGAGGGAGATTAAAATAGGACTAGAAAGGATACACATCAAGTATTATGATGGTTTTATTTTTTGATTGATTTCAACTGGCCTTGACTGAATACTGAACTGCAATAAAGGTAAGGAATAAGACTTAATCTTATATGGATAGCATAGCATGTAGCATGAGTAGGTGACATTATTCCTTTAGAAGGTTGTATGGTAATATGTTACTGTGTTTACCCAAGAGGTGGTTTGCTGAAAAAGATTATAAATTCAAGGAATTTCAACTGACACTATACACAACATGTTAATATTAATGACTAATCCCAAGTATGTGCTGATCATGAAGACATATAAATGTATTTTAAATACCTAGATGGCTCAAATCAACATGCTTACTATCTTATTATTGCACAGTAGCAGTGCATTTAGGCACATGTACTTTTCTAGACTGACATCTAATTATCAAATTAATTTCCCGTCCCAATCAAGCCAATTAAGTAGGTAAGCATTGATGAAACAGAGAGATATGGATACAAAGAAATTGGAAAATTAAGTGAAATGATCAAGACAGACAGGTAAATAGAGAGAGATTGAGGGAGGGGGAAGGGGGAAGGGGGAAGGGGAAAGGGGGAAGGGGAAAGGGGAAAGGGGGAAGAGGGAAGGGTTTTAAATATTGACTACATGTCAGAGAAATTAAGAATATGAGACACAGGTAGAGGTAGAAAGTGAGGAAAAAGTTTAAAAATAAAGTGAGACTGAAGACACTGACAGTAGAACAGACAAAAGTAAAGTGAGAGAATAGTGAGGAAAAAAATGAAGACAAATTACAGTAAAGTTGTATAGAGAAAGAAAATTATAATACAAAACTTTAATTGATCTGAAATAGATTTTTTTTTAAAGAAAAAGAAAAGTTTAACAGGGAAAGATGTACATGTGAATGAGACTTGCTATCAAAATCATTTGTGTAATTATCAATGCCTCATCAAACTCCATTCTGAGAATTTTCTCTGTGTGGTACTCGTTGCTCTCATGCATAATTTCAATCCAATTACTAGACACAATTACAGTGTAGGTGGGATCATGTGCTTCAAATCAAAGCCTTTGCATCTAATGATTTAGTTGATCTAGTTTGCAGATGTACCCATCTCAAAGCAAGTCATGTATAATCATGAAGTATTTGTCAAAATTCAATAAACCATAACTTTGTTCCAAGATCTTATGTTATACAAAACACCTCTTACACTTGGAAAAACATGTATCCATGTCAAAAACAATTGCAAACAATCAATTTTTGATTCAAGAAACCTGAAGAAATATACCTCAATTTTTGCCTTAAATGCATGATGGAGAGAAAAGGCAACCAATCTATACGTTAGATCATATGTATTATTGCATAGAAAAAAATATTATTGCATAGAAAGATAACCACTAATTCGCTATGGTAATACCTGTATTAAATGTGTTTCTTGGAAAAGTGATGCCTTCCATTTCTACACATGACCAATTAACCACTGAATAGATGAACAAGCATCTTAACATAAAAGTCACATCAGGACGATCAACCCCCCCCCCCCCCCCTGGAAAATTACCTCCTGGAAAACTTGCCCTCAAGGACAATTACCTGCCTCCCAAAAATCACCCCCCCCCCCTCCCCTGTTCGTTAAAGGGGAAGTCCAGCCTGATAATAGGTTGGTTTTAAAAAGAGCAGATTTTTTTTTTTTTTTTTTTTTTTTTTTTTGGGGGGGGGGGGGGGGGCAATTATGCTTGAAGGGGGGTAATTGACCTAGGGGTTATTTTCTGGGAGTAATTGTATTCAGGGGGTGATTGTATTTTCGGGGGGTAATTCTATGGGGGGAGGGGGGGGGGTAATTGTCCTTGTGGGATAAGTTTTCCTTTGGGGAATTTTCAAAGGGGGATTTTCCGGGGGTAATTGTCCTTGGGGGTTAGTTATCTGGAGGAAATTTTCTGGGGGGGGGGGGGGTTCATTGCCCAGGGGGTAATTGTCGTAGAACCCATAAAAGTATGTAGGATGCAGTTTTTCTCATGCAAGGGAGATGGGAGTATTGTTTTGTAACGTTTTAGTCACCTCCATATACAGTGCATCAGAGGTCATAAACGTGTCTCATCAAAAACACAGCCAGAGGGAAAGGAAAACACCTGAAGAATCTGGTATGAAAAAATATTACAAAAAAAAAAAATTCAAAGGTGATCTTCCCTTGGGTATTGGATTGTAAAGTTGCGATTGAACTTTGAAATTATTTCCAAAATATCACCTTCCCCCAAAATAACAAATGATAAAGGAAAGACGAGAAGACAGCAATCAAGTGAATAAAACATCTCCAGGGAAATTGTCCACTAATGGACATTGCATTCCTTGTTGGAAAGCATCATGTTTCGTACCAATCCAGGGTTCAGCATTCCGTTATTCATTTTTCATGGGTCTATACTCTATTGTTATGGGATATCCTATCTTAATGTTCATTCCAAATCTGTTTTAACGGGTAATCTAGTCTTACTGAGCTGCATGACCGCGTCCTCACTACGTTTGAACTTGTCGTGTTTCTTCAATCTTCAATATTGAAGAAGGTATAAGATGAACATTAAAGCCTTGTGGTGGTCATTTTATGAAGTGTAACATGCTTCATATTCCTATATCTCATAACACGGAGCTCAGTTAAGTGAATACGTATAGGAACTGTGTTGTACACTGGTGCAATTAATGTACATGTAAAAAAACCATGGAGTTTTGTT